TCATTTTTATTTTAAGTCTAAAAAACAAAAATAAGGAGCTGGAAATAAGCATAATAGGCCACCTTGAACTACTGGTAAAGAAGGCGTGAAGTGAAAACTTACCCAATATTTTCTTGATGTTCCATCAACATTTCTCTCTTCTCCCCACCTAGTGCACAGATCAGAGATGATAGTGAATTAAAGCGCATAAAAATTAAAGTATAGACGTCTTATTAGAGCTGTAAAAAATAATTTAAGACATGTTATGCATTACTTTGCCTCAGATGTGCTCAGTGAAAAGCAGATATGCAGGGTTCAAATGTTTAAAATAAACTTTCCCCATTAACAACATCCTGGGTATTTATAGCTGGACATCATTTTGTTGCACTTCTACATCATTCCAATACAAAGAAACAAGGAGTTCCCCTCTTCATCGGGCGTAGGTCACAGGGAAGAGGAACAGCACCTCAGCTTCGTCAGAGCACCAACACAGCAAAACACGAGCAGCCAACAGGGACACTGAACTTTATCTTTACCTTCTCCGGTGGCTGTGGCTTTGTTCTCAGGAAACCCTGGCAAAGGTCCATAAATTCCCATCATGCCATACACTTTGGTCTTAGCGTAGCTGCTGCCAACCCCGGCCGTTTCTGCTCGTCATGATCAAAACAGTCCTAAAGCCAATTCCCATCCTGTTTTTCCACACCCGGCCTTTCATTTCCCAAGAGACTCCCGGTCCGCAATCGGTTGTTATCTTTTATAAAGTAAAGGAATGCTGGGAAATACACTGGACGGCCTCAGGCCCTGCCAACTCAGTAGCCTGCCACCAAAACACTGGCAAACTGAGCCAGGCTTCATTCAGCGAGTGACTTTATTAGGCCACTACTCTCCCAAGTGGATTATAACGTCACATTGACCAGGAGCAGACAGCGTCTAAAGTAGACCCTGGCTGGTGTTTGTGAGCATTGTTCACAACTGTATACAAGTGTGTGACCCCGTATGTTTACTTGTGTGCATATTTATTGGTATAGAAACAGGCAGACAGAATCGGACCACTGCTGATCTCTTATCGGTCTTCCAATCAACTCACTTGCTCACTTGGGGACAATGATGGACATGCCCCTGTGCCCATGTACCCCCGCCCTCGCCCAGCGCCCCTCATCCCAGCTCTGACCTCTCCTCTCGGGCACTGATCCCCCTCTCTCTGTCCAGTGCAGTCAGGATCAGCACCCCAGACAATGCTCTTTCCGCCACAGTGGACCTCAATGCTATCTCCACAAACTTTCCCAGGCCCTGGGCTTAAATTAATATACAGCTATGGGATTTAGCCTATGTAAACATACTGAAGCCTGTGGCTGGCAGGTTTGGAGCTCAAAACTGTGCCTTTCACAGCCTCCATCCATCCCTAAACCTGCACCACAGCTACAGCCACATCCACATCCAGCCAAACCACATCCAAAGCAGTCAGAAATCACAGTAGTTGTAGAAGGAGGCTGAATCTTCATCCTCACCATCATCTCACACTGTGCATACCTCCACAGTTTACCAACAATGAAGCTGCAGAGATGTAATTACACTCCAGAGGGTGTGGTTCAAACACGAGCGTGATAAGCAAACACGAATGCACTTGAAGGCTTGAAGAACAGAGAAAATTGTATAGGATTTAAATAAGCTAAGTGGATGAGAAGTGTTTGGGTTTTTTTTTTGTTTGTTTGTTTGTTTTTTATCCTCCATGTGCTTATGCATGAAAGAAAAACTACAGACAGTGAAAGCTTCGAGTAAAGAGATTTGTGTTTTATCCTTATCAGATAAAAGCAGAGAAGTTGCTTCTGTCATAATGCAGGACTTGCATGTTTGCTGTTTTTTTGACACTCAGGTAAATGTTTACCTACAGTATGACACACACCCACACGTCATTGGATGGATTCGCCGGTAATTGGGGTTTTATTATCTCCCATAAAAACTGGAGGAGCCAGGGATTGATCAGACAACGTTCCAATTACTGCCCATCTCTGACAGTCAAATGTTACCAAATACCAATTACTCAGAACCACTGTCACAGTTTAAAAATGTAAACTGAGCCTTGAGAGTGCCAAATATATCAGTGACATATGTCAAAGGCAGCTGGATGAACTACAGCCTGTAAAATATTTAAAAGCAAAGGGCAGTTTATTCATCTTAAAGGTCAGAATATTTAAAAAACAAACAAACCATAAAACAGTATCAGTCTGTCTGGAGTCTAAAATGATAAGAGGAATATTTTTGGCTTAAATGTTAAGAGGAGTAAACGAAAGGAAGTGGGACAGTGTGACGGCCAGATGAAGAGTGATGATGGAGACATCACAGAGCCAGAGAAACGCACGGCAGTGGGTGTGGGCAGGCAATCCAGGTGCGTCAGCCGTCTACCTGCCTGCATATTTGCGGTTGTTAAAGTGACTAGATGGGGGGGCAGGGGGGACTGTCTGGGGCAGATGAAGGAGTGGAGCCAAGGTGTGTCTCCGAGAGCAATAGTCTGGAAGGGAGGGAACGCTTATTCACAAGCAGACAGCTGGCTGTGTGCAAACACACGTGCAAGTGGAGCTTTGAATCAAACCCAGTACCAACAAGGACTCAATTAAAACCCTGATTCATCCTTATTAAACAACTTCTGAAGACCACTGCTAAACATGTAGCAACAGTTAAACCAGACACACTCTGGTTAAAGATGTAGAAAAGGTGAAAGCGTTTGTCTAGACAGGAGTCAGGTAAAGAAAAAAATAATAAAAATAGAAAATTAAAACCTGGTGAGTTTATTTTAAGCCCAATCAGGTCTGTATAAGCATGTCTCCAAGCCACGTTGTGACAAAGCAAGTTGGTTCACTAAATGGGGGCAAAAATATGAACTGTTTTGGATTGTCTCGGTATTCTGGTAACTTACCCGGTGATCCTGACTGAGTGTGTGCCATGTTTGCGGTATTGCGGTGGTTTAGTGAAACTGGCATCTGTGTGTTTGTAGATCCCAGTCTTATAGACAAAGAAGTCCTCGTGGACCTCCATAATAGCTGCAAGAACAAACAAGCACGGAGAATTAGAAGGTGGAAATAACCTGCATGAGCGCGCACACACACACACACGCACACGCACACACACTTTGATTAGCCATTTCCCAAAACTATTAAGCAATTTCACCAAACAAATTCTGATTTCCCCCCTGAGTCACACACCCAAACATCAGAGCAGGTTTGTGTGTGTGTCAGTGTAAGCTGCACATCTAAGCTATGTGTGACTCTCTTATCCCAGCAGCTGTTTATGGATAAAAGAAGGAAGTTTTTAAAGCTGTATCGGCACTAGATGCAGTGTTCCCTGGTTGAGAATATAATGCAAACTTTCACTCTTATTAGAATCTCTTCAGCAGACACACACACACAGGACCACACACACTCATGCTGCTCTCCTCAACTTTCTCAAAACTCTTCCTCCCTGGACTGTTGAACAATAAGTTGGCACACGCTCCCATACACACATGCACAGATCCTTCGACACGTGACTCCTTTATTCAAGTGTACTTGAAGGCATTCCAGATGGGCTCCAGGCAGCTAGCTGCGCTAATATAGCAAAGTCAGATCAACCCTAGCAAGCCGCGGGGGCCGCTCATTTCTGACGGGGTGACTGGGGTCAGAGTTAAAACTCTGGTCAAAACCATTCAGATGAAAGGGTTAAATATGACGTCAGTCTAGGTCAGGTACTTCAAGCTGTGTGTGTTTTCATTTGTGAAAAGTCACACCCACGTGGGAGCAATGTTGACAATAAAATACAAGCATATTTAAGGAAGACGTACACACACAGAAAGGCATCGCGTTACCTTGCACGGGGCCATTATCCATAATCTCCTTCATAATCTCCTTTTCCTAAGTGAGACGAAAGAGAGAACGATTTATAGGCAAAGGAGAGTGAGACAGACAGAATGATCGTTACATGTCAGTGAAACGGAGAGGATGAAAACAACCCCCTGGAAGTTAAAAGTCAGATAACAAGATTGAGTTCAGCAGGGCCCCTTGGTCTTAATGCCTGGCTTATTGACTTCACAGGCTATCAAGAGAGAGGAACAACAGGCTGTAATGATTTTGAGAAGCATTAGCCGTCACTTAGCCCTGACGGATAGCTTCTGGTGAAACCACATGTTGGCTGCTGCTCAGCGGTTGTCTGATTTGCAGAAGATCCATGCAGCAGCGTGGAGACACCGCTTCAGGAGGCAGTTTGTGCAAATGTTACATGATACTAGTGCATGGGTTGCAGAGAGGGCGGGGATAATGTCTCCATGAAGTCATTTAGATTCATCCACAAACAAAATAGAGATATTTTACGGTTTTTATTGTTCGACTGAAGGATGGGGGCTTATGTAATTCACTTCTGTCTCTGAGCAGAAAGTAGAAACACTAATATGAGGAGGAAATCTCATTTCGGATTAACCCGCTGGTCCTGAAATGATAGCAGATGATGAGTGTTGTGTTTAAATTGGTGTAATTCACTCACTGCGGTGTTTCTCAAAGGACAGCCTTTCTAAGTCATCGTACTAGAATAGTTTATAATTTAGTTTTATACACAAAGCTAACTCCTCAGTCCTGAATCCTACCTCCTGAAATATGGAAAACAAGCGGGTAAAAAAAAAAAAAAAAAAAAAGCACATCCCACTGCCCTTCTACAATCTCAGACTCATTCCCAGGTGAGCCAGGCACACCATGGCTGATCAGTGTAGTTTTGTGAACGAGAGTGGATGTTTTTGTGTACACTTGTGCTTTGTGCAGCTTTCTTTCACTTACATTGGATGAGAGCCTGTAGGGCGGCGTGGACTGGTAGATGTCGTTGTGGTAGTTTTGCGTGTTGGGACATCGCTGCGTGGCTTGCCTCTTCCCCCGTCCAACCGAGCGGCTCTGCATCATGCAGCGACCCACCTCTGCCGGCGTTTGTTGCGGAGGTTGATATGGGTAACAGTCTTCTGTCACAACTCTGTCGGGAGGGAAGGGGAGATGTAAGTCACCCATCATTCATTCACGAGCAGTAATAACTTTGTCTGAGATGAAGGGGGGCTTACCCCCTACGCCGAAGATACCACCAGGCTCCATCTATGCGTCCTCCGGCACAGCCTCCCTGGTTGCGTGTGTCACAGGAAATAAGATTTTGGGGAGACAGCCGAGGAGTCATGTGGCCCATAGACTGGATGGAGATTCTGTCTGATGCCACAGCTGGTGGCAACAAAGCAAACGCATAAACACGTAACTAAAATTTCATGGTGGAAGCTTCACTTCAAGAAGAAACTTGAGAACTAAAGAACTTCTATTTCCTAGAGTTCATGCACGCTTGCATGTGACACAGTTTAAGGATATTTCCCTACAGTTCCCCCATTAGCCCTGCAGATGTCATTTTCCCTAAGACAGCACCTGCTGTTGAGAAGGCCCAGGAAGCAGCGCAGTTGCCCTGATCCAGCGGTTCGTGAATCTTCCCCGGCCACTTCTCTGCTGAATTGAAGTAAGGCGGCAGATTGTCGGTCTGAGGATCCATGTTCATCTGCAAGAGGGAAAGAAGTTTGTTCGTTCTTGCTTCAACTCCATCTTTTGCAGCAACCCACGAAGAAAACATTTATAGTTCTCAGTAAAAACAGTCATTATTACCAACTGACAGTCCAAGATGTGTGACATGAATTTATAGGGAAAAGAAAGGAAACTGTATTTAAAAACAGCCTAACATTTACGTGCAGCAGCACGGGTTGCTTGAATGTGGTGTCAGGTAGTGTAGTGCAACTGTTTGGCCACAGCAGAACACAAACTGAAGGGTGCAATTAAAATACTTGTGGGCAGCTTCGTAATACAAGCTTGGATCATGGGCAGATTACATAAGTCTGCTTATCCTTGTAAAAGGATTTCTTTACAACCATTTGAACCAGAATCCATTTCTGACGTTGCAGAATAGACAGGACCCTCTGAAGCCACTCCTCTTTGTGAAACAAAGGCTATATTTTTGGTTATATTAGGGTTTCATCATGATGATAAACTTCTGTTATAGAGTGTAACTGTCTCCCTGATAGAGCGCTTTCACTCAGACATGCTCCATTATTTAATCGCCAGCTATTGTCGGATGCTCTCTTCTTATCTCCTGGTATTATGTGATGAACATACACTACAGATAGCTTCATCTCTCTCTCTCTGACAAAGACTCTGGCTGCCCGCGGTGCATTCCACTGCTTAATAGTGAAGTATTCAGAGCACAGACGGCCACCTGATACATCACTAAGGAATGTGCTGCTGCTCAGAGATTTGGAGCTCTGGCAGGTCAAAGTGCAAAAAAAGCACCTGATCCAAAAGGCATCTAAAATGTTGCATTAAGTGCGTTTGACACGAGTCTGCAGAAACAACAGGAAAGGGGAGAGACTGAGAGTTTTGTGAATGGGCTGTGATCTGATATAGGCATAGGCAGGGACACGCTGAGGGCGGAAGGAGTAGGAGGTGTTACAAAATTTCGAGGTGGAATGAATGCACGCAGGGCAAAGTGGGAATGCGCAGACCCAAGAGGAAGTCTTGTCTTTATTCTCAAAGCC